GAAATCAATTACCACAAAAAACAAAAGAAAACATTTTCCTTCAAAATCAAGAAAAGAGGCGCATGAGGGGTGGAGAAGGAAAACGAATTCCGGGGAAATTTTTTGCTATCAAACCCCACAAAAGGTGGAAAATGTAAAAGAAAATAGAGGGAATCAAACGACGGGCTTTAATGTTTAAAAAAATATGCAATTTTGACTAGTGGTTTGAAGTAAAAGTAACTTGGTGCGTTAGTTTAACAACTACAAGTTTTACATTAACTACTCTAATTTTAGGTCAGAAATGGTTGCACTTCAAAGTCAAGTCAGGGAGTGTAGAGGAGTTGGATTTACATCTCTATACACAACAGACAGTGTATCGGTAAATCTAACAAATACATTCCTATATAGAATGTATTTGTATTTTACTTACTACATTTTACAGTACAATAAAAATGCTATAAAAAATTTCAAAATTGTCACCAAAAATAGTTTGTATACTTTGCATACCAATTTTATCCTCTAAAATTTCAATTATTACTTCATTTTCATCTAATTGATTTTTTTCTTTATCATTCATTTATTACTGCATCATTTACATAATTTTTTTTTTACGTAAAATTATGTGTTTTTAATTATATTCTTCAGTTTTATAAAGCTTATTCAGGGAAAAAAAGAAGAAGAAAGAAATCATTTGCGGTGCATACTAATATAATTATACATGCAAGCTGCAAAAACATTCAGCCTTTAATGAATAAGAAATTGACGTCTAAGTCTATTTTAATTATAAATGATTTATAATTTTAATTCACTAAAAAAATTATTAACTAGTAGATAGAAATTAAGAATTTGTTTAAAATATTGGAAAAGTCAAATAAGTTTTTTCTATATTTTATTAACTTAGTAAATTTAATTTTTTATTGAGAGTTTAGGAAACATTATAAACACACAAAAAAGATCATCCTTAAAGAAAAAAATATTTGATGAAAAATCAATAATTAGAAAATAATATGCAAAATGTTATCTAAAGTTAGGGTGTTAATAGGAACAACTGAGTTGAATCAGCTCGATCCAACTTGTGCTTGCTTTCGGGTGAGCTCACAAGCCAACTCATTTCAAAATTTTGTCGCTTGACTTGCGAGCCGCTCATCCCTCCATATTATTTTTATTGTCAATTTTTAGATTTCATTCAAAAATTAATTTTTTTAACCATGTGAGCGACCAACCTATTGTGCTCGCCTAGCCTCATTTTGGCATCTCTATCCATGGTGTGATTTCTTCTTTCAATTAAGGACATTTTTGTAAACTTTTCAACAAATAATAGTTTTTGTTACAATTATGCAAAATGTAATATATAATTTATAAATTTATAAAATACAACAAAATTTATTACACCCTATATACATGATCTTTTTTGAAAATTTCCCTAATTACCGTAATATTTGTCGTGTTCGAAGTTTATGAGTACTTCCCACACCAACCTCTAGAGAAGTTCAATCTAAGAACTAACTTCATTCCTCTCCTCATTGTCATATTTGTGTCAGCAAAAGAAGATGGAAGGCATCGGCCAATAATTTGGTCTAATACTTGATTATCGTTGAAAAACGAAGGACCCCTAGATATTTATTGGTGGGATAAGTTGAAAATTAGGTAACTCATGAACATTTTGCTAACAAATGTGGTGGGAAAAGGCGCCCCGTCCAGTGAAGAATTAAAAAAAAAAGTTGTGTTTGACATTTTTTGTTTCGAGTGCTTCTTTGGATATTGATGTAGTTAATTTGAACATTATTTGTTATGGATTTTAAAATTCTGAATTTGTAATTTAACTGGAAATTAAAAAAAAAAATTAACAAACGGGACAGGAAAAGGGGCAAGCCCACGCCCCGAGCTCGCCCCGCTTCGTCTAAGGCGGGGTGGGGCACGCGACAGGGAGTTGTAGTGGCGTGGCGGGGTGGAGGTACCCAGCTCCGAACCCGCCCCGTTGCTATTACTAATCAAAACAACTATAGNATTTTCAACAACACGATCTTTTATAAAATAATGTTACATGTAAATCGATTTTTTTTTTTATTTTTCAACCACACATTCTCCTAAAAAAAAAAAATCTATTTCAAAAATTATAATTTCAAATAATGAAGGCTAAACGAGGATTTGATTTCTCAGTTTTTTAATGTCTTTATTTAGTATATTTTGTAAGTCATCAATAAATATGAATTACTCATATTTAAATCGTTATTTAATTGTAGGCTTTTTATCCTCAAAATCTAAAGGACACGTGGCCTACAGAATTTTGACCCCACCTGCACGATGGAACACATCGTTAGAGGCAATGATTACACTAGTCGAGAAAAAGATAATTTGTGCTCGGACAGGGAAGTCAACATCCAAACGAAAGAAAATAAGTGTAAGAGATGCGAGATGGGATTCAGTTAGGGTTGTTATAATCTTACTTTATGTGCGAATTGAACTCCCATATATATATATATATATATATATATATAGAAATGAAAATAGGCAAGTAGGGCTAATGGACTGAGCCCAAATCTAGGACAAGGTTGTTTGATTAAATATGTTCAATCAAATTGATCATCAATCTCCAACAGGTCAATGTGGGCCTCTTTCGTCACGTGATCGTCAAGTAATTTATGGATATAACAGGAATATATTAGAAAAAAATGTAAGTAAATTTTATATTTTCAATAATATTAAATACATATTTTTTAATTCGTGTAAAAAATAGAAATAAGCTGATCTGTTTTGAATTATTTTCTATAATTAATTCTCGAATATTTTACCCATTAACTTCTTTAAATATCAATCAAAATCACTAAAACTGCATAGAACAGAGCGCAATCACAACCGACAAAGAACATGCGTCCACATGAATCCAACCGCTGCAATAAATCTCTGAATCCTAACACGTGGCATAATCTGATTCCAAAGACAGGTCCTACATAACGGATTTTCAAGTAAATACGCAGAAGGCGCCTCCTCAGGATTTTCGCGGCCTACCGCCTACGGTTTCGCTTTCCCATTCTTCACATTTAAGCTCCCAAAACGACGACGTCTTATTACCTAACCTCTTCCCCGCTTTCTTGTATATATACATACAAAGTAAAAATCGTAGCTTTTTGTTATGTAAAGAAAAGATAAAGATAAAGATCTCTGGGCTCCTAGTTCAAAGGTCAGCAAATACATATGCGTATACATAAATCATATATATGATTTTTTTGAGGAAGTTATATGTTTTGAGGTGTAGGATAAAGTATTTTGATTCTTATGTTCGGATAAATGGGTTATTTGTTGCCTTTTTTAATTTAAGTATCTAATTTAATTTCTTGGGTTTTTCTTACTGTTTAGATTTAGAAGTAAGACGGTAATGATTATAATACGGTGATTTATAGAATGGAAATGTTTTGGCTCCAAGAATCAAAATTTCCCTAATTTGATATACTGTTGTGGGCTGTAGATAATGGTTAATGATCAGCTTAATCTTTTAAAAGTCTTTTGATGAACTTTGAAAGTTATATATGTTTATTTGTATGTGTCTGGGGGTGCCTTCTTGCTCGTGCGTCTGCGAGAATCACATGTTTATTGGTGTCATTTATCTTTCTTCTGTACAGAAGGATCAAGATAAATTTTATAGTTGGAAAGTCATATTTTGAATATAGTTGGTCAGGTTACTATCTTGAAGGCAATTATTTTATTCTAAATCAGGGTTCTGTAGTGAATGATAGGTTATATACAGATTTGAAGGCTTGTCCTACATTTTTTATTTATAGGAAAGTTATCGATTGAGTTTTAGATCTTTAACGTTTCCATTTTCATTTTACGCCCATTTTTGAAGTTTGAATTAGAGAAATTTTTTTTTTTTTTTAGAATTTATTGGTTGTGTTTACTCACAATCAATGGAGGTCAAGAGTTGTTTAATCTTGATTCATTCTCTGAAGAGTACAATATTTCTGGTTATGTTTCTTTTAACATTTAGAAGGTGTTTTTGTGAATGAATTACTTTTAAGATTTGAGAAAGTTAAATGTTTCTCTCTCAATGTTAGGATGAATTCTTGTTATTTCTTTCCTATGGACTTTATAGTTCTTTTAGTATATTTAGGCAAAGTAGAGAGTGAACAATTCTGCAGTCATTTCATGTAATGCATACCAAATGCAAACTTGGATTTCTGACCCATTCAAATTCAAATGGCTTTATTTTTCATTTCATTCGCTAAAATATTCAAATTACAAATTTGAAACGTGTTTTCTGAATTTCCAGCAGGAAGTTATTTCTATCCACTATTACAGCCAGTCTACAAGAGATATTTTGGTACAAGAAAAGTTTTGGTTAAATTATTCCAAAGGGTTCTTTATAAGAAGATGACCTCGTACCAGCTTGATCCAGATGTTGTTCGGTGGGGCCTTCACCTTATAGATTGCTCTCCAATGAATGGTGGTACTCCTAAAACTATTACTTGTTATGACAAGGACATGTCTCGAATTGAGCATGTGGAGGAAGGTTATTGTGAAGCAACAGACTCCATTGCAGAGAACGATGAAGTGATTGCTCATGCTCTTCAGGAAGAGTTATCAAGACTTCGAACTGCTGAGGCATCAGGATCCACATGTGCTGAAGATCAAGATCAGCAAGCCTCTATTCTTGCTCAGGATTGGTTTGGTTCTTCAAGAAAGCATTTTTATCATGGTATGGATGAAGCATCAGATTTCATTTTGTTTGATATCTATATTTTCCTTCCTTTTCAGTTTATACTTACCTCATCTGCAGATGGAGCGGGAATGGTTCCCGATAACCGTGGGGCATTATTTGCCATGGGTGAGGAACAGGATGTCTTTCTCGAGATAGAAGATGAATCCACCCTTGATGGTGAATGGGGCAGAAGGCTGAATGAGATGGTTCCAGTACCTGTAAGTTAACGTTATTCTGCTTTTGATTAATGAGAAAAGTTCGTCAAGATAATTAAACTTATCTTGTTGCTGTAATGGCTGATTATTTCCCTTGCACGGTCTTCTTCAGTGTTCATGTTATTTCCCCTCGACTCATTATTATTAGTTGTGGTTCTTATTCTACAAATTATAATGAAGTTGGCTTTATTATTTTGCTTGTCTCAATTGCAGCATGTTCCTAAAATTAATGGAGAAATTCCATCTGCTGATGATGCCATGTCAGATCATGAAAGGCTGCTCGCCAGGTCTTATGCATCATCATCTCTTTTTTCATTTTGTTAATAAGCTCTTTCGTAGATTGCTACTTGTTTTGTGGGCTTTTCCGTTCACTGGTTTATAGTCATATTCAATAGGATTCCATTATGTGCCATCTTATTAGGTTGAACATAATTATAATTTGATAGTTAACAAATGTTAAAAGTCTCATTTTTTTCTATGAAAAATGTACAAAGATCTTATAATTAATGGATGTAACATATGAGCTTTTGCTCTCAAGTTTCTTCTGACCCTAGTCCACATCGGAGTACATACAGGTGAGAAGTTCAGAGATATAAAATATTCTTGGCATTTCTTTTCTACTTTTACTATATTCTCTTAAATGGTCATTTCCAGTTTTGTCAATGAAGAACTTCTAAAATTGTACTTTTTTTTTTTTTGGGTGATGTTTACTGTGTTCTATAGAGTTGTATAGTCTCTTTTTCTATTTTCTCAATATGTCTGGTTATTTTGACTGACGATCACTTTCTCATAAACTGTAGTGTATTTACTCTATTATTTTATATTCAACAGATTGAATTTATATGACCTGGTTGAACTAAAAGTTTCGGGGGATGGTAATTGCCAGGTTGGTTCCTGCACATTCTCACTGGACCCAAATTTTATGACTTATAATATTCATCTTTTCCATTTTGAAGGCAATTACAGTTGACAGTTTTATATATAAATAAATATTTTTAGTTCGAGGGGCGGGTTGATTTCTACCTCTTGGTATATCTAACTATTGTTTTGTTTTACTTGTTGCTTTGGCTTACTATTCTAGCTGTCTTTCTGCAGTTTCGTTCATTATCAGATCAAGTATATGGTACTCCTGACCACCATAAATTAGTGAGAGAACAAGTTGTCAACCAGGTATGTGAGTGTTTTGATTGGAAACAAGATATCTTTTTACTTGGCATCTGATTTGTTTCATTCTTGTCAATGTAAGACATCTATTCACCTTGTAATTTTTCATTTTTCTACGTGCCAACCATCAGCTGAAGTCATATCGAGAGCTGTATGAAAATTATGTTCCCATGGGTTATGACGACTACTTGAAGAAAATGAGCAAGTACAGTACCATTTAAATTTATTGAATCTTTCTTGGCATTTATGCTTCCACTAAAGTAGATTGTATTTACTTATATAATCAAATTTCGCATGATTATAGGACAGGGGAATGGGGGGATCATGTCACATTGCAGGCTGCTGCAGATGCGGTATGAGTTTTTCCTTCTGTTTTTATCTCTTTTTTGTTTCTAAAGACGTACTCTTGTTTACAAGTGAAACACCAGAGACAGAATTAGCGTTAGCAAGTGATATTTATAACCTTCGAGCTTAGTTAGAAATGATTGCTCTGTTCTTATCCTCTCGGAATAACCATCTGGCTTTCAGTTTCATGTTTTTACGCCACTATATATTCTCTTTCTACACTTATCAATTTTTTAGTACAGGATGTCTGTGATCTATTTTTTACACTTGTTGCTATCTTGCACGATAAATTTCCGATTTACAATACACTAATAACTAGTGAATGGTTCTTATTTTGTGGCAGTATGGTGTCAAGATATTTGTCATTACGTCGTTTAAGGATACCTGCTATATTGAGATTCTTCCACAAACTCTGAAGTCAAACAGAAGTGAGTTTTTTTTTTTTTTTGGCAATATGTCGATATGGACCATAATAAATCCCACAGAAAGCAAGGTTAAATTTCTGGTGGATTGAAAACTGATTTTGTTCTGAAACATGATTATGAGTGCTAAATTTTGTTTTTCAACTAGTGATTTGACATTACGCCCCTCTTTGGTAGATAAGTCAAATTCAACAATTTATTTTAACCATATAATTCATGGGATCCACAACTTTTGAGCCGCACATTTCATCAACTTTTATTGAAATCTAGTAAAAATCCGATTTTAATCCCCCACCAAACCGGGGATTAAAATCTAGTTTTACTTATTTCTAATCAGTCAGACTTCTTTTGTTGTTTTCTTTAGCCATTAATGTTCCATTCTTAGTGAGATTTTCGGGGCATCTGTTTAAATACTAATCGCTATCTGTGATCGATGCAGTGATATTTTTGAGCTTCTGGGCTGAAGTGCACTATAACTCAATATATCCGGAAGAAGGTAAATGACTATTCAGTTCTGTAACGAGTACAATATTAATCTGCATAAGGGATTCTTCCTGTTCACGCTATTACTTGTGTTGTATTTAGATTTTCCTTCATGTTGCTTTTGTTTTGTAGAATTTCCTGTAGTAGAGAGCAAGAAAAAGAAGAAGTGGTGGAAGCCATGATACAGATATTAGCTTTGCCTTGTACATATCAGTTCGGATGTAGTCATATATTTATTCTTTTATTATATATATATATAGATGTACATATTATTTTTAGCTGGTGTACATTTTCGAATTTAGATTGTTTCCTTCCACTTAAATCATGTTTTGGAATTGTTTATAAAATTGTTTGAGTTATAAATAACAAAAATGAATAGTGGATAAGTGGATATTACTCGTGGATCACTTAAAATGTGTGTAGATGAAAAGTGGGCCGAGCGAGAGTCCTTGAAATTAGTTCATTCCAATGAGTCGAGCATTTGAACCGTTAAAAAAGGAGCCGTGAAGATTACGAGGAACGACAATACATTTTATCATCCCAGTACGTGATTGTCATGCATTCTTTCAAGTTGGCAGTCTTATATAGCATATTACCTACGAATTATGAGATTATATTGCAATCAAGAACTCGAAAACTAACTTGAGATCAAAGAAAGCTAAAAATACATGTGTCGTTCACTAGTGTACATATTATTTCCTCCGAACTGCATACCGAGACAGTTTCACACGAAAGATCAACTTAAGTTCTCGATAATTTTAGAGACGGCTGAATAGGTACCGAAACCTGATGCTATGATGCCAACTACGATGATCAAGATACAAACAGAGCCCTGTGGAAAATGGAACAGAAATATTAGGAAATATTAAACCAACAGTTTGATCTTTGCAAATGACAGAACTTGGTTTCACCTGAAAGACGTTTATTCTACCCCATAAGATGCTGAGGTAACATGCACATGGAAGAATCAATGTCTGTAAAAGAAACTTTGCTTAGTACAACATTCTCATCCGTAAAAAGAACGACGTTAATTTGTACAATACAGATCCACTTACGACTAGCATTGTGAGTAAAGATCCAATGAACGCCATCACCAGACCTGTATAACGAAAATGAATGTGTACTAAAGAACGAGGACAAGGAGAAACTTCGTTTTCAAACATGAACCAGCTAAAAATTTCTAGAGATATTCATAGTTGAGAAGACATGCAAAGATTGGATGAAAAGCTTACCGAAGAAGGGGATGCTGAGAGCAACCAGTGATGTAGACATTACCAATGCAGTCCTTATAATTATAGAATATATATGAGACTTTTTGTCATTTGATGGTATCAATTCTTCCAGACTCATAGCCACTGGAGACATTGTTAATGCATATGTATATCTAATTAAGGAAGAAACTGTTCTCTTTCTATGATTCCAGCTATTGAATCTAACGCTGTTTTTTTTTTTCTTTATCAGTTTCTCATCAAAAGTGTTATGAAAAAGGAAAATGCTCTACCCTTATCATATTCGAACACGTTGGATCAGTAAAAGGATATTTTGCAAATGGATTGACTACCTGCAAAAGAACAAGCGGAAACACAGGTTAAAAGCATGAAGTTTTATAACAGAATTCAGATATAGATACACCTCACTTTGTTTAGTGCATGCTTCGAGGTAGTGAACATGATTGGACATTGTAGAATAAGAAAAATAAACTAAAATCTTGTTCATACTACTATCCAGCTCCATTTACTACCACTTACCAAACATTTGTGTAAATCAACAATAAGAAGAAACATCTCCGGCGAGAATTTCTTGACTTACTGTAGTCCAAATAGCAATTTTAGATGCAACTAAATCTTGGGGCATGTTGAGGGTGAATTGTGACTCTGTTGATTCTCCAAACATCATGTATCCCAATATAGCAACTCCGGTATAGAGCACCGTACAGATGCCAAAACTGCATTGGTTACTGACCCAGGTTTAAAAATAGCGCACAGACTTATGTAAAGTGCACTCAAGAATTTACGGAGAAAAAGAAATTAAAAATGTGAAATGTACTATGTGTCAAACATGTCCTCAGTGTTTGGTTTTACCTTGTTAGGAGGACTGCAGGATACTGGTTAGGTTTTTCCATTGATGTATAGATATTGGGAAAAACAGCATGCCCCGAGTAGCAATAACCATATAGACCTATAGAAACCGGAAGAGTGGAAAGGTTCAGCACTGTCCCGTTAGTCTGAAAGCCAATTTTATCCACCCAGCCAACCCAGAACAAGCAAGCAACCACCAACACTGATGCAATGACTCCTCCAGCTGAAAATATTGAATACCATTTTAAACTCATGGTGCGTGTTTGGTATGCAGTATTGGATGGAATAGGACAATATAATGAACAATATTCAACTTCTTTTTATGATCACTTAAATGTGAACAGACTCACCGGATATATAGCTAAGAACACTCAGGTCGCGCAACCAAACAGTAGGAAGAATGGCCAGGGCAGTCATCAATGCAAAGAAATGGTGAGAGTTTAAATCAAATCCTCCAATACTTAAATGTACATTTGGAAATAAAGATGACAAATTGTCGCTCTCCAAAATAATGAATTCAATGCAACAAGCCTGCAACAGATTTAGAAATTAGAGGCCAGACATAATATGAGAAATTGATTAAGAGTTCAAAAGAATTATAGTGATCGAAAGAGATTGCTGGAGGTTCAATTCAAGAGTCGGGAAGAAGACTTACATATAACTCCACATATAAAATTATCTGCACAGTAAAATACGACAGAAAAGAATGTGTTAGAAAGTAGTTAATGCACATTGATTTTCTCTTAATTTGATAAGTACAATAAATTCTTAATCATCAATAATATTTCTGACAGGAAAAAAGGAAGTTAAGAATTAAAATCCAAAATGTAATTCTAAATAAAGAAAAAATATCGAGGAAGCAACGAGACTTACTGATATTGCAATACGTCCCACTCTACCGAAGGCAGCCTGGCCGATGTCTGGGTACGTTTCAATTCCCGGTTGGCTGTCCAAACAGTGTCTTAAGAGAATTCCAGTGTAGTAAGAAAGCACAGCGAAAATCAGCAATACAGAAATCCCGAGCCAACCTCCTTCTTTGACAGCGTATGGAGTAGATAGGACTCCAACTCCACGTAGAATGTTCATGCCTATGTAAAACCATCATATGTCAAACTATATTATAAAGTGTGTTCGGTAATGTGAACCGTATAGCACTAAACAGTAATGCGGAAGTTAATAATGATAAAAACTTCGTCCATCTTAGCATCCAGGCTTTGTCCAATACTGCATACCAAGATTTGTATTGAAGTAAGTACCAAAACCAGATCAAAATAACATACCATTTAACACCGCTTGGCCGTATGAGCTATGGCGAGAAATTGGAAGTTCATCTGAGACCTTGGCCTCTTTCTCCTCGAGACTCACTTTCTTTATCCCCGACTTCTTTGCCAGTACAGGTGGCAATATAGAATGCGAACTACGCCTTTGTTGTGGCACTTTCTCATCCTCTACTTCAGATAAGAGAGGTTTACTTAGAGAAGGTAATATCTCTGGAGTGTGTCTCCTCGTAAGGGATGAGGAAAGGTACGAGCTTTTAGGCAAAGATGGTGTCCCGAGAAAGTTAAGACTCGGAGATGGAACGCTACTGTATAGATCAATTGATTGCCTGCAACAAATTATTTTCAACATAAAAATCATGAAACTATAGCACAAAACAGACAAGAAAATAGAGTAAAACATAAGACTGTCTCCCTTCTATCATTTAAGTGGAACAAGATAAATAAAAGAAAAGGAAGGAAAATTCGTCGACCGATCCCATCATCTCCTCCAGGCGCACACACGTATACGTGTATATATCATATGACTTGCTATCAAATACCGTAACCCTCCTTTTTACTCGGGCTTGGGACCGCGCATGTGTGTGTCAGTGTGTGTATATGTATAAGCATTAAGCATTAAGCATACCTGTAACTTTGAGGCCAAGAGGTATTGTATGAATTGGGCTTGCTTTGGTGGCTATTCTTATTATCATTGGAGTAATTGGAGAAATCAGATTCATTCCCATCTTGTTCATCTCCACCTGCATCATATGGCTTCTCCTCGTCCTCTTCGTCACTTTCTATGTACAAGCTCTGTTCGGATACTGAATTCTTCATTTGCTTTCTCTCTTCAAAGTTACTAAAATACAAGGAAGATCAAGAAAATTACCTAGAGAGGAACCCCAAAAAGGAACTGAAAAATCATCTATATCTACATGCAATGATGCAAATATAAATTGAGATTGGAATTTCAATCAAATAAAGAAAAAAAATGTAGATTAATTGTCTGAACAGATGGGTAAGAATGGTGGCTATGTATATCACGTGGACAACCACGCGAACAATTCTATTCACTTCACACATGAACTGATTACACAGACACCCTGCGAGTTTGAGTGTGTGTATGAGAGAGACAGAGAGAGAGGGGGAGGGAGGGAGAGAGTTATTACAGTCTTTCTGTAAGAGCTTCCAAAATTTAAGACAAGAATCGGCCATTTCTTATTGGAATCTGCCCAAAAAGCCTGTATCTTTACCACACACACACACACACAAATCTCGAGTCTTGAAAGATTCAGAAAAAGTTCCACCTACTCAAATGATACAACACACAAACGAAGAAACATAGGTGACGCCATCAGTTAGGGGTTGTTCAAACAAGTTTGTGGGGATTAAAGTGTTGATAAAAATTATGGTCCCATTAAAAAAGTTGTAAAAATTAATTGTTAATTTCTTACCTCAATTTTTGTAGCTATCCCAAATAAGCACTTAACTAAATAGTGCAGATGGGTTGGTTAACGTCATATTATAATTGAGCATAAAAATACGTTAATGTGTTAGTTCTTTAATGAAAAAATGAACTAAGCCTACAAACGAAAAGCATGTTGAAGACGATACTTAGTCCCTATTTAGTTTTGCTGAAAAATATATCTTTTATAAATTTTGATAAAAGTTGATGAAATGTATTGTTAAAAAATTGATAAAAATTGTGAATTTCATAATTAATTAATAATTTTGATTTAAATTTTTATCAAATATTTTAATACAATAAATCAAAATTTAGATGAGTGGATTAAAAGAAAAGAGATGCTTACACTGAATGTTGAGGATGAGGACAGTCGATCAGTTCAAACTCCCGGAATGAAGTCTAGACAGCCGACCGCCATGATTCACAGCTTTATAGTGGAAGCCGCCACTCGACTACTTAATTGTGGTGTGATTTTGTATACCTTTTCATTCCGTTTCTTGTTTGAAAGTGACACACAAATTTTAATAAAGATTCCAACAGGCTGTGAAGTGTGAACTGTACATTTAATAGATGAATCATGGTTCATGTACCTAATGATAACGCGCTTGGGGGATAAATTTTTTACTTTTTTTATTGAGGCGAGGGGGTAAATATTTTTACTTTTTTGTTGAGGTGAGTCCCACCCAACGATAACGCACTTAGGGGGTAAATTTATTTACATTTTTATTGAGGCGAGGGGGTAAATTTTTTTACTTTTTTGTTGAGGTGTGTCCCTTTACATTTGGCTTTACTCTTAATAGATTTCTACACACGGCCAGTCAGCTACTCACATTTCCCTCCATATATTTAGGCTAATTTCACGCAGGCCTCTTACCTTTTGTGGTTTTCCTTTATTAATCCTAGTATAGAAAAGTAGGGAAATTTGCATCCTTTAAGTCTTCTTCAACTTGAGTCGTCAAACTTTTAACTTTATAGTAGTAGAGTTCTCGATCTATTGAGTCTCGTCCACTTTTAAAAATTATGTGTGATGCATGCTAAGAATTTTGAGGGGTAAAACTTTACATCTCTACCTCCCTACAATACACCCTAGCCCTCCCATCTCCGGTTAATTTCTCACTTCCATTGGCAATTTAGCATTGGGGGAGGCAAGGAGCTTACGGATGACAAAAAAAAATCCATCGGTCATGGCTCTGCCCATAATTGGGCGCAGATTTAATTGAGGTTTTTATTTGTTAATTGATAATAAGGTATAATCGTCTCTATGAAAAAAGAAAGACCATTTTACTGTTTTTAGTGGACAGAAGTCGTCTATTGGGGACTAAAATGTCATAGAATATAAAAATTCAGTACTTACATGCTGAAGTTTAGTGATTAGGGATCTGTCTACTATAAAACCATATATTATGGGCTTTTGATGCAATTTTTTTAAAATATTATTTTGTTTTATCATCTCAATTAAGAAATTAAAAAAAAAAACCTCTTATGTATTTATTTGCTGTTTCTTTTGAAAAATATATTTCCTCGATCATCCTTTTTTGTTTCGGATGAATTTTTGGTACTTGGACAATAAACGAACTAATTTTTTTTAAAAAAAATTCAAAAATTATTTAGGTTGTGTATGATACACGTTGTGGAGAAAGGAATGCATTTATTCAAGTGATGTGATGAAAAATATGTGGTTAAAAATAAGGAATAATTTTGAATTTGAGTGCAATATTATTTTATTGATGAATGTGTAATTAAAAATTAGTAGATGAAGAATGCATTTTTCAAGAATGTGGATCAAATAGGGGCTTAATAAAATCCATTACAAATCAAAGATGTCACAATTTCAAAAGCGATGTCGAAATTGTAAAATTTTATCACTTCAATTAGTGGAAAGATTATTGACCCCTCTTAACCGATTACTTCCAAGAGACTTTTTTTTTTTTTTTTAAATATAATTATTTGTCACTTGCTATCATGCTTTGCCTATGTTCTAGACAAAGACATAGCCAGCCATAGTATATTATAAAATTTGATCATTTTCACATCCCAATGTCCAACATGATTCTTTTGGCCAAAATATTGAATGACTAGATCCAACTTTCTTATTGGAGACAACATTAATGAGAGTATGATTGAACAAACAACTCTACTTTGTATACTACTTAGTTTAGTACTATTGTAATGTCCAAATTTATTCAAATACTAAGTTTAGGTATCAAACGTGAAAAACCATATAGTGAATATGGTCCAAATTATAATTGAATATATTCACTGTCACAATTTAAATGTGTTAATGTGTATAATAACTTTTTTCTTGATTTAGTAGAAATTAGGTACGCGTATACATAAGTAATAGTAGAAAACATTCACTTACAAAGTTTAATAGTACAAGATTTAACAAATTTTTTTGGCAAAGGTTAAGATAGCATGTAGGATTGTTAAGTGGGTTGAGTTCGAGTTGAGCTAAGTAGCGATTTAGCCATGTCGGCAGCTTATTAGCTCATTGACTTGTGTGTGAAATGGAGAAATATGCAATTTTTTGAAATATATATATGTAGTGAGGCGAGTCGAGACAAACTTTTATTGAGCGAGAAACGCTTAGCCCAATGTTAGACATGTCGAGTGGTTGGCTCGTCCTATAGAATGGTGATCATTGAGCTTCAGGGAGCAAATTAAGGGTATTTTGATCTATTTAACTATTTATAATGGCAAACATATAAATATTTCTATTTTTCTTTGTAGAATATGTTTATTGTTACTAATAACTAAATACAACGTGCAATATGTAAACTTGCAAAATATGGTACGGAAATTACAAGAGACCCTATATTTTTGTAAATTTTCCTTATTTCCAAAAAAAAAAAAAAATCTATATTTTGGACAATTGCAATGGAGGTCCTCAACCTACGATAATGCACCATTTAGTCTACACAACTTTATTTTATGGTACATGAATCTCCATCCTGTAATTTATATATCACTTGAGCCCATTAGCATTCCTTTGATAGGTAAAAAGTCAGTAACTCACAATAATTGCTCCTCAATGATTAAGTGCTACAAACTTTGTCGAGAACCCAAATCCAAATGCTACATTACGTATTGGTTGGGAAACTCCGCTTTTATTTGCTACTTCTTTAACGCACAATTATAAGAAAAAACACATTTCTACCAACACGTCAATAGATGTAAGTATAACTCGTCTTTTCCCGCATTAATAAATAAACTAATAAAACCGCGTTCAAAACACATTTCTACCAACACGTCAATAGATGTAAGTATAACTCGTCTTTTCCCGCATTAATAAATAAACTAATAAAACCGCGTTCTTCCTTCATCCTCGTCTTTGAATCTTCAATGCTACATAAAACATGATTATTGAAAAAATTAAAAATAGTTGAAAAGCATGACAACAAATATTTTTTCCGACAATATTTGATTCTACAACATGTATCAATTTCGATATAAACGCCAAGTCTTCAAGAATAATTTAATATGAGAATGTAATAATTTGGATAAGATACATATCACTTGTTTGAACCCTTTGGACGTACCTATGTTTTTTCAAATGAAATATTAATGATATTAAAGTTGTCTAGGAAAGTCATTATAGAATTCATGGAATGCCCTTAACGAATTGTTTCGGGTGTCTCACTATCAACAAGTACTTATTGTCATGTACCATGATGCCGACGTATAATTTTAAAAAAAAATGTTGGTTTATAGATTAATAAATATATAAATCCACTTGATAAACAAGTTTTGTTGTTCGGGTGTTTTTGAAGGAAATAAATTAATGGTATTTGGCAATACAGTAATTGTAATGATGATCAAATAATTGTATTCAATTCAATACATATAGTATACAAAGATCAATACATATTTACAAGTTCTTGGAGTAATGAGCAAGCAAAACATGCGTCAACCATGGGAATCAAAACAATTATAACAGCTCAATTGTGGTCCCAAAGTTGCACATTAGCAGCTGATCTTTCAATGTGCTTTATGTCAATCCATACGAATAAGCTAAATCTGTCAAGTGCAAATATATATTTCAACATCCTCCCTCAAGCCGGAGTTTATTCTTTTACTCCAAACTTGTCTTTGAGAAATAAAAATATGGTTTAAGAAAGGGGCTTAGTTAACAAATCTGCAATTTGATCTGATGATGGAATATATTATATATTTAACTTCCCTTCAAGAATTTTGTCCTTGACAAAATGTATATACAACTCAATGTGTTTAGTTTGTGCATGATAGACCGGATTAGAAGCTAAAGCACTAGCACTAAGGTTGTCGCACGAGATGAAACATGATGCAAATTAATTTCCTTAAGTAATGATTCAATCCAAGTTATCTCTGCAGCAGTTTGAGCTAAAGCACAGTA